GCTTCAGCCATACCTTCAGCTCCATCAGCTCCCTGTTGGTCGTATTCTTTTGGTTTGGGCGAAGCAGGTTTCCCCGCGTGCCACTCAACACTGACTACTTTTAAATAATGAAGAGGTAAAGGTGTTTCCATATCTTCATAGATTGGGATAGTTTGTTCGGCTGTAGCTTGGTCGTAGTCGTTTTCGGCCAACTGATCCTCCCATGGCGCTGCATTCGGATCGACGCAGTAACCCCGACCACCATGAGACCAAACCCACGGTGTCTTGCGGAAGTTAGGGCTCCTTGACGGGCGTCTCATGGGGCAACCGAGCCCGCGGTCGGCATGCTCGGGGCATGTGCAAGCAACGCCTCTGCAAAACGTCCGCTCCTCAATGGTAGCCCTCTCGAGGTCGCGCTCGATGAGGGCTTCTTGTGATTTGACAGCCCCTGTCCTTTTTGAGCGAATGACCTTGCCGTCTTCATTCCGATCGACCTTGCGAAAATAATCAGCGACGAAGCTAGCGCACAGTCTAACCCTGGTCAAACCAGTATTGCATTGTACCTGGGTCTATGCACTGTCGAGTCAATCCAGCATCCGAGTAGCCGACAAGGCGCTGCATTTCGTCTTCTGGATATTCTTCACGAGGTTGTTCCCCTTGAGGCGGGCGCCCCCGCGGGCGCTCCCTCCTCGGGGGGGCGCCAGGTCTATTGACCTGCCGCGGAGGGGCCCTTGGCTTCCCCACATCAAGAGGATGAGGGCGCTGAAGGCCGCCAGAGCGGGCGCCACTGGGGCGCGCGCGCGCGGCTGGGCGAGCAACTGCGGACCCGACCGCGACGTGCCAGACGAGCATTAGCTTCCCATTCTTCGTCGTCGTCGGCGCGGCACTTGCGTCTCCAGGACCGGCGGCTTGCCCATCGCTCCTGGCCTCTCATGGAGCGATCCGAAGCTACGCATGCGCGTTGAAATCCTCCACCGTGGCCGAGCTCATGCTGAGCGCGCTTAGGCAGGCCCCTAACATCTCGCGGGTCCCCCCGCAAAGGATCGTCATCACTCAATTCTATGTTTGTCGGATGTCCAACAACCCGATGAAAAAGCATCAACTGAATGCCGCCCTTCTGCTGCAGGAAAAATGGCTTCTGAATCCGCGGGAGCCCCCGCCATTCCGTCATCTCCTTCGGCGGGCATCTGGAAGTTCTCGACAAATTCAAGATAAACCGGTTGCCCCGCGTTGGGTATGCCCAGCCAATCTGCCAGATCAGTATCACTGTGGCCAGTGAATACCTCCTCGAACAGCTCGTCGGCGCAATTCTCGAGGGATATACTAGCACTCAAACTCATGGCAGCCATGCGATTAACAACTGCAGCTGAGCTATCAGCAGGGTCGGCTACAAGTGACCCCCAGTCAACATACTGCATGTCCGAGTCAGTTTGAGCCAGACGCATCGACGGACCTCTGCCCCCCCCCCCCCGTCGCCCCGAGGGCATTCGCGGCGAAAGTGCTGTGTGCCATGGCACATGTCGTACTCCATAGTTTTGCCGTTTGCATCCTTCGGGTTTCCCCGACGTCCCTTACCTTTTCCTGATGTATGCCTGCGATTTCTGCCTGCACCTAGGAATGTGTCTCTGTATTGTGGCCGAGTTAGGGGCGCTGGGAATGCTAATGTGCCTCTGCCATGCAATCGCCGACGGTTACCCTTACCCTCACCTCGACCCTTGCCTTCTCCCTTGAGTGCCCGTCGGACGATGCGCCGTGCCTCGCGAACTGGCTTCTTCAAAAATCGCCATCTGCGCGTATGTTTCTGGCATCCTATGAATAACCATTGCGCCTGTTGCTCCTCCGTGAGGTATGTAGGCATATCGGAGTAGTCAAGAGCTGCAACCTCGTCGTCCGAAGACGCGTCGGCGACAGTGCCGGAATCGAAGTCGGACTCGGCAGGTCACCCCGCTGAGCCCATTCGGGTCGCGGCTTGCGCAGGGGGGGACACCGCGTCGGGCGGCCCCCGAAACCTGGCCAAGGAGTCTTGCGACCCCGAAGCCGATCCACCGTTCTGAGCCAGTATTGTAGTGGTCTTAGTTGGTTGTGGACCGTCATTCCAGACTTGACTAGCAAGTTGCCCTGCGTTTGCCTCAGCGTGGAAGGTCTCGGCTCGGTGACCGTGACTGAAAATGCCACCAATATTGCCGGGGGTTCTCTCAGCAATGCGTGCATATGACCTCGCGCGTTCAAGTGGGGCGTCATGCTGGTCTCTCGGCATGCGGTGGTTGAGTGGCTGTCGGAGTTGCCGTGCGCGCGATGCCCCCGCTCCAAGAGCTCAGAACAGAATAACTGTTAAAATCTGGAAGTTGGGGATGCTAAAGCCTGCCGTTTCAACTTCATAGCAAGCTATCACTGAGCGCGCCGACGTCTGGTCGATCCGTTCTCCCGCATGGACTCGGAAGTCGATGAGAGCTGCACCAGATTTGAGTTGGCGCCCCTCTTCTCAATTCTCGAACTTCGTGCTTAAGAGGAACATGATGTAGGTGGCGCCGTCGGTATGGCGGCCACCTATGTTAACGCCAAAATTGATAACTGCTGGGGGCACTCTCACGGCTATGGTCCGTGCGAGGCCTCCCAAACCTCGCTGCAGGAGGGCGTCATGTTGCCTGTGGTCACGTTGCTCCAGGCATGTACCTCGCGGACGAATTCGCGGAAAAGGCACTTGGCCGGCCGGGTCCCAATGGGGCATGTCCTACCGCGCGCCCGATAGCGACCCATGTGAGCCCGAAGATATCAATGCCAATCCAATGGGCTCGCAGATCGTGGTCGGGTGTAGTCGGCTGGGGCGTTCTATGTGTGGTCGTAAGCCTGCGTGGGGGTGGAGGCGGCACACTGTTGTATCGCATGTTTCCATGCATTATGTATTCGAATAAGCTTCCAATTTGAGTAGGTGGGTGGAATTCAGGAATGTAGTAGCGCAGGGATGTAGGACGAAAGTAAAAGGCCTCCGCGTAGGCAGAGGTGTCACTGCAAGTGTCCTTCCTATACTGCGTAGTTATATACATTCCTCCGCGCAAACCCACTGCACCCTGATGTTCCACCGTGTCTGTAGTCCACCAGATAGCGCCGTGGATGGTGAGGAATAAAGCAAGAGCTGACCACCATAGGCCAGCTCCGCTACCAAGTTTTAAAGCGGCTGGGAGGCCCAATCAGCAGCTTCGCCTTAGGCGAAGCCCAGCTCCCGCTCTGTTGTACCGAAGTAACGGTAGTCCCTGTAGTAGGGGGCAAGCCATCTCAAGCAGTGTTTTGGTATCGATGGCAAATAATACACCTCGCGCTGAGGTGTAGTCAGATCTGGGCGGCCGGCCGCTTTGAGCCAAGCAGCCGCGGATGCACGCTCGTTCCCACTCACATGCAACGCCCAGCTCACTTTAGAGTCAAGATGGCCTTCAAGATGGCCCAAGGGGATCCAAGATGTCTCCAAGTCCGCCCGAGAAGCCACACAGACGGCCCAGGATGACTCTTAAAGGCCCCCAAGAGACCTCCCAGACGGCTCAAGAGGCCTCCAAAGAGGTCCTCAAAGAGGGCCCGCAGAAGCCAAAAACATTGGGTTCCGTCGGGTTGTTGAAAGATTTGGACATTCGCTTCTTTTCGGCCTTCCGACAGCCCTAGACGGCCCAAGAGGCCCCTAAGATCGCCCCAAGATGGCAAAGGCCTCCGAGATGACTTCATGTGGGTCCAAGAAGCCCAAAAGACGGCCCCAAGAGGGCCTCCCGGTTCGCCCAGGATGATCCGACATGGGCTCCAAGAGGGTCCAAGATGGCCTCCAAGACGGCCCAAGAGAGTTCGAGATGCCTCCAAGTTCGCCCAAGAAGCCTCCAGGACGGCCCCAGACAGCCCAAGAGGCCCCAAAGAGGCATCCCAGACGGATCAAGAGGCCTCCAAGAGGTCCTCCAGGAGGGCCCGCAGAGGCCAAAATCATTGGGTGTTCTTCCAGCGTTTAAAAGATATCTTAGCATTTGAGTCTTCCCAGGGCCCGAGACGGCCCAAAAGCCTCTCAAGGGGCCCCAAAGGCCTCCTAGATGGCCCCAGGACGGCCCAAGAGGCCTCCAAGACGGCCACAATAGCGCCCCAAGACGGCCCAAGAGGCCTCCAAGACGCCCAAAATGGCCGCCGAGACAGCTCTCACAAGAGAGCCTGAAGTCGTTTCCGAGCAGCATTCAAGATGGCTTCCGACGACGTCAGACTGGCCAGCAACGCCCGAAGACGACCACAGCGGCCCCGAACAAGACCCCAAAGGCTCCCGAGAGGCCCAAGGCGGCCCCCAAGAGGCCTCCAAGATGCCACCGAGAAGCTTCCAGGATACCCCAAGAGTGCCCAAAAAGGCTTCCAGGAGGCGTCCTCCTCCTCCTCCTCCTCTTCCTCCTCCTCCTCCTTCTCCTCCTCTGCCTCCTCCTCCTCATCCTCCTACTTCCTTCTCGCAGTGTCCTCTTCCCCTCGTGTTTCCCGACAGGTTTCAAGCCCAACTTTCGGCCACATAGGGGCATCCAAAAGGGCAGGGGGCGGCGGTGATTCGCCGTAGACGTCTTCGACACGCTGGAGATCTGGGCCTGCTGGGCCACCAAGTCCCAACAGCCTTCTGGACCTAAGTGGTCTAGGGAGTTAGTCATTCCACCCCCCTTCTTCCCCTTCGAGAAAGGTTGTACCCCCACGTCGCCTCATCATCGTCCTGATCCTCCTTCCTCATTCTCCTCGTCCTCCTCCCGCCTGCTGCTCCTCCTCGTCCTCCTCCCCCCTCGTTATCCTCCCGCTTCTCTTCGTGCTCCTCCGCCTGGTGGAATCGGGTCATAACTCGGGCCTTTGGCGGCCGTTCGGGGCGATCCGGACACCCCCGGAAAAATCTCACACCGAGGCGCGCCCGCCGAAACGCATCTTCAGGTGAGAGAGAGCCTCCAGGAGTCAGCTGAAATGTCCCCCCCCCGCTCCCTTCGACTACGAAAGCGTCCTCGGGATCCTCCGCCTCTGCCGTCCTCCCCCCGGTCCTCCAACCTGGTGATGGTCAGCGGGCCGTCTGGATTGCCGCGCTCTGTCGTGATGTCAACACCCACGCGGCCACCCTGGCGGCGGTCGATCTCGACCTCGTAAGAGAACTCCCCCGTCTTTCTCACCTCGGGAATGATCGGAGGTTGGGGGGTGAGATCGCAGTGGAACGGAGACCCCCAACCAGGAAATCGTGTCGCTTCGTTCGTGTCGTGCTTGCGGGCGAGGCGAAGCTGCGTGAGCGCGCGAGAGGAATGAACCCGCCGTTGCAAGGGCGAAATCAAAAAAAATACCTATACGACCACCCTGCGGGTGATAAGGAGGTGAGGGGGGAGGGGAACCAACGTCTCACTCAATCGATCTCGCTATCGATCTCACAATCGATCTCACATTCGATCTCACTATCGATATCACCTATCGATCTCGCTATCGATCTCACTATCGATCTCACAATCGATCTCACATTCGATCTCACATTCGGTCTCACATTCGGTCTCACTGTCGATCTCACTATCGATCTCACAATCGATCTCACAGTCGATCTCACATTCGGTCTCACATTCGGTCTCACTATCGATCTCACTATCGATCTCACAATCGATCTCTCAATCGATCACACATTCGGTTTCACATTCGGTCTCACTATCGATCTCACAATCGATCTCATTATCGACTTTCACTCTGCAATTTTCACTCGGCACCCTCATCATCATAATCATCATTATCATCATTATCTCACAATCGATCTCACAATCGATCTCACAATCGATCTCACTATCGATCTCACAATCAATCTCACATTCGGTCTCACTATCGATGTCACAATCGATCTCACAATCGACGTCATCATCATCATCAACAATCATCATCACACCATCATCATCATCATCACCATCATCATCATCATCATCATCATCATCATCATCGCCATCATCACCATCATCATCATCATCACCATCATCATCATCATCATAATCATCCACATCATCATCGGGACACCGACGGGACACCGACGGGACACCAGCCACCGCGCGCCACCGGCCGCCCGGAAGAGACACATTTGGTCCGGCCGCGCCTCAGCCACAGGGATACCGACGGGACACCAGCGGGACACCGGCGGGACACCGCGCGCCACCGGCCGCCCGGAAGAGACACATTTGGTCCGGCCGCGCCTCAGCCACAGGGACACCGACGGGACACCGGCGGGACACCGGCGGGACACCGCGCGCCACCGGCCGCCCGGCGGAGAATCATTTGGTCCGGCCGCGCCTCAGCCACAGGAGACTTTCCGCTCGCCCGCCCACGCAGCTTCGCCTCGCCCGCCCGCACGGCACGCACGAACACGAAACCGAAATCAATTTCCCAGTAGGGGGGCTCTCCGTTCCACTTCGATCTCACCCCCTCACCTCCGATTGCTCCTCCGTCCGTTCGTCTGGCGGTGGCCCGCGGTGTCCCGTGGTGTCCCGTGGTGTCCGAGAGGAATGAACCCGCCGTTGTTAGGGCGAAGTCAAGCCACATGTTGCTCCTCCGTCCGTCCGTCCGTCGGGCGGTGGCCCGCGGTGTCCCGTAGTGTCCGAGAGGAATGAACCCGTCGTTGCTAGGGCAAAGTCAAAGCAAATGTTGCTCATCCGTCCGTCCGTCCGTCCGTCCGGCGGTGGCCCGCGGTGTACCATGGTGCCCCGTGGTGTCCCGTTGAGTGAGATCGATAATGTGATCGATACTGAGATCGATGTGGTGCCCCGAGGTGTCCCGTGGTGTCCCGAAAAAGAAGATCGATGGTGAGATCGATAGTGAGATCGACAGGTGTCCCGTGGTGCCCCATGGTGTCGCGTGATGTCCCGTTGAGTGAGATCGATAGTGAGATCGATAGTGAGACCGACAGTGAGATCGATAGTGAGATCGATAGTGAGATCGATGTGGTGTCCCGAGGTGTCCCGTGGTGTCCCAAAAAGTGAGATCGATTGTGAAATCGACAATGAGATCGACAGGTGTCCTGTGGATTTCCCGTTGAGTGAGATCGGTAGTGAGATCGAAAGTGAGATCGATAATAAGATCGATGTGGTGCGCCCGAGGTATCCCGTGGTGAACCAAAAAGTAGGATGGATAGTGAAATCGATCGTGAGATCGACAGGTGTCCCGTGGTGCCCCGAGGTGTTCCGTGGTGTCCTGTTGAGTGAGATCGATAGTGAGATCGATGTGGTGTCCCGAGGTGACCCAAAAAGTGAGATCGATTGTGAAATCGATCGTGAGATCGACAGGTGTCCTGTGGTTTCCCGTTGAGTGAAATCGATAGTGAGATCGATAGTGAGATCGATGTGGTGCCCCGAGGTATCCCGTGGTGAACCAAAAAGTGAGATCGATAGTGAAATCGATCGTGAGATCGACAGGTGTCCCGTGGTGCCCCGAGGTGTCCCGTGGTGTCCTGTGGTGTCCCGTTGAGTGAGATCGATAGTGAGATCGATGTGGTGTCCCGAGGTGTCCCATGGTGTCCCGTGGTGCCATATGGTGTCCCGTTGAGTGAGATCGATAGTGAGATCGATAGTGAGACCGATAGCGAGATCGAGAGGTGTCCCGCGGTGTCCCGTGGTGTTCCGTGGTGTCCCGTTAAGTGAGATCGATCTGAGATCGATAATGAGATCGATAAGTGTCCCGCCGTGTCCCGTGGTGTCCCGTTGCGTGAGATTGATAGTGAGATCGATTGAGTCAGATGTTGGTTCCCCCCCTCTCCCCCCCCACAACATCCTTATCACCCGAATGGTGGTCGTATATGTACTGATTATGACTTTCTCCTAGACCCAACGTTGCTGTATAATTCGCAGCGTGCTGCTAGCACGGCCCTCTGCGGGGCCTCTGAGGGAAATGGCTGCGGAAGTGGGAATGCGCTGCTGCAAACCCGCCCCCCCATTACGCCTATGCTAAACTGCCTATGCCGCCATGTTGCCAGAACTCAATCCAGAACGATCCTCATACGATGCTCAAAGACTAGGACACTGGATTGCCAGGGCTACAGATTGCCAGAACCTGCATTCAGAAGTCCCCCATCATTCTCACCTCGGGGAGGATACTTTCGACGTGCCTGCGCGCGTAGTAAACAGGTATCTCGAGCTCCTTCAGGAGGGCCTCCACGTCCTGGGGAAGCAACAAGGTACCGATACCGATACTCCCCAAACCTCTCCAGGGGTGCGTTCTGACGCGACGGCAAGGGCTTCCCAAAAGCTCCAAAAAGGCAAAAACAAGGAAAAGGGAAGCGGTATCCGTACCGTTTCCTCCTCTGATGTCCAGGCCGGGCAGGAACCGCTGCCCGGAGGAGAGCACCCAGGGGCTCATGGAGTTCGTGACGATGGCCACGCGCGCGATGCGGCGCGCGGTGCGCAGCACGAAGCCGACGAGGTGCGCGTGGGCGGTCAGCGCGTCGGCGTCGGGGAAGTCCGCGCTGAGAGACATATCGTCGTTCCAGTACCTCCAGAAAAGGGCCCAGGGGGGCAGATATCATTCTACAAATTCCAGCCGTTCCCATATGTGTCTATGTTGCCCGGACCTCTATCTTCCCATCCATTCCCCATACGTCCCCATCTTGATAAAATTACCCCAGTGCGACCCTACCTAGAAGTTGGAGCCACTAGGAAAGCAACATTAGTTGCTACGCTATGCTATGTTATGCCATGCTATGCTGCGCTATGCTATGCTATGCTATGCTATGATATGCTATGCTATGCTGTACTATGCTATGCTGTACTATGCTATGCTATGCTACGCTAAGCTATCAGATGTCATGCTGCACTGTGCTATGCTATGCTATGTTAAGCTGCGCTATGCTATGCTATGCTATGATACACTATGCTATGCTATGATATGCTGCGCTATGCTATGCTATGCTATGCTATGTTATGATATGATTGGCTATGTTATGGTATGCTATGCTAATGCAGCGCTGCGCTGTGCTAAGCTATGCTATCTAGGGAACTACACCAATGCACCAACTACCCCTAGGCAGAACCTAGGTAGGGAACTACACCAATGCTAATGCTATGCTGCGCTATGCTATGATATGCTGGGCTATGCTATGATATGCTATGAGATGCTATCCTATGCTATGCTATGCAGTGTTCTGCTATGCTAAAGCTCAGCGAAGCTAAGATGCAGGTAAGCTAAGCTAAGATAAACCTGAGCTAAGATGAAGCTAAGCTAAGCTAATATGAAATAAGCTAAGCTCAGACGAGATAAGCAACGCTAAGCTAAGGGGACGTAACTGGGGGAACCGCGGGGCGGGTGCTGGGGGAACCGCCCGGGGCGCTTTCCACTGCCCGGCCCCTTTAAGCCCAGAGAGTAAGAGCCCTTCTAGGCACAGCCTAGGTAGGGAAGAACACCTCCCTAGATTCCTGTTCACAATGCTTGTTTGTGCTGGCGCCGATGCTTCCCTCTTGACTCTGGTGGAACAAAAACTGCATATACACACACCTCCAGAGGGCCACGCGGATTTCGCAGGTCGGCATTGGACACCCCCATCCCCCTGGCGCACGGAGCGCCCCAAGGGCGGCGCTGGAGGCGCCCCGGAGGCCCAGCGCCGATCCAAGAAATCCGCGCGGGAAGTTTGCGCTCGGGCCGTCTTTTCGGCGGTGGACAAACCTGCCTTTAGTGAACCTCCCCTTAGTGAAAACGGCCTGGGACCGAAACCGACGGACCTGGACCCGCAAAAATGACAGCCGCGACGCCCTCTCGTGAACCGAAAACGACCAACTCCTTAATCGACGTGTCAGGGTAGGAGGTCTATCCACCTCCGATCTGTTGTTCCTCGGGCACCTCGAGAGCAGCGTCGTGGGCAGGAGCGTGTCGTCCCAGTCGAATATGATCAGCGCACTCTGCGGGTCGCTGAACTTCGGGGCGCTCTGGCTGGGAGTCGCCGAGCCTGCGGGGCCAGCAAGCAACCACAACCATCTCGAAAACACACCCCGGGGAAAGTTCTGCGCATGCCAACAAGTGTCAGAACACTGGAACCAACTCAGCACTGGCTGTGGTCGATGTGACTCCCCCCCCAAAGCGAACACATCGACAAAACAACAACAACCAGAGTGCGCCCATCGTGGTCAGCGGTTTCTCACCTGAGGGACCTTTCAAAACAAATCCAGTCGTGAGCATTCCCTAACCGAACACAATCCCCATGGGCGTGGCATGGGCTCTCCTGGCAGACTTCCCACCCTAGGTGAGGGGATGGGCCGTTTCCCCCAGGTTTCGAGGGGTACTGGGTAGATCCGCCAACTCGGGTGCTGACATGGTAGGGGCCTGGATGGGGATGGACATGGGGCTAGGTCGGCTATACGCCACAGTGACCCTGGGCAGGAGTGGCCTTTGGTGCGCGGCACAAGGGGGGGGCCCTTTTGAGGACATCGCCATGCGCGCAAACCGCTGCTAGAGCATCGCATTCCGCGATCGGGAAGCCCCGTTGGGCCCGCATCAGAAGTCACTCCGGCGAAAGGCCACTCCTGCGCGTGGTCGGAAAATGGTCGGTTGAACGATCCTGACGCTCAGCTGTGGTTGTGGCCTTCTGCTGCGCCCGGAGCGCCGTGCCCGGAGGAGCCGAAGAGTCGCCCGAACGCGCGCAGGCAGCCCCCCGAGCAGCACGCAGAGCGCGGCGCCGGCCTGCTCCGCCGCTCCTGCGGCGGGCCGCCCGCCCGCCCGGTCGCCGTGCTGCCCAGCAGCTGGCCCGCCGAAGCGGCGTGCCCGATCTGGAACGGGAGGGGCTCGTGGGGCTCGCTGCACCTCAGCCAGGCAAGCGCATTCCACGACTCGCCAATCCCTACTCGCAACAAATGGCCTGGATCAGCGGCGGAAAATTGACGATCCACGGCGTCGAAGAGAACGAGTGTTTTTTGTCGGGCGTATGCGACTGAGCACTTTGCGAGCGGTGGGACGCGGTCGGCGATCAGCGGGCCTTGCACGCTGACAAGAGGACCCCCCCCGTCCACACACACACACACACAACCACACACGCACACACACACACACGCACACACACACACACACACACACAACCACACACAACCACACACACACACGCACGCACGCACGCACGCACGCAGGCACGCAGGCACGCACACACGCACACACGCACACACACACACACATCAAAAAAAACGGACGAAGGACCCAATCATAAGCAACTGCGAGTACCGCGAAATATATGAGACGGAAGAGGGGGGCCCGCGGTGGCCCAACCCCCTGCGCCGCTACTTTGTTTTCATTTTCCCCCCGTCTCATTGCCCTGGTGACCGCGGCTCTGCGCAGAGCGCAGCGCGGAGTTCCCGCGACGCACACTGGTTGCCCCACAGGGGCCCAGGCGACGCGCGCGGATGGTCCGCTGCGCGGAGCAGGGGGCGCTAGCTAACTGGCCGAGGGACCAAGCGCTGGCCGCTGGGCAGAGCGTGGACGGGCGAGCGAAATGTTTGGCGGAGCGCAGCGCGGAGCCCCCGCGACGCGCGCCGGTCGCCACGAAGGAGGCCCGGCGACGCGCGCAGGTCCTCCAAGGCTGGAAGCCAAAGGGCGACATGGCGGCCAGGCGCGCCGCCGCGATGCCCGCAGCGCATCACAGAAGAAAATCCCCCTCAAGTCAGGCCTCGCGGATAGAACTCGGCGAACTCCTTGGCAAGGGCCGTCGCCTCCCTCCTGCATCGCCTCGTGCGCGCCGCAAACTGCTTCAGCTGCTTCCTCAAGCCCTCCGTCGGCCTGGCGAGGAAGAACTCGACGCGCGGCGCCCTCATGAGCAGGTGGTCCTCGTGGCGCGTGGCGCGCGAGAGTATCGCGTGGAACTCCAGCCACAAGTCGTCGCCCTCCTTCTCGCCGTTCCCGACCTCGCGGCGGCCGCAGTCCAGGGTCGCGCCTGGGCGACGTCAGCCGAGGGGGCAAAAGCGCCCGGCAGCCCGCCGCCCAGGGCGAGATCTCGAGTCCGCATTGCCGAGGGGGCGCGTGGACTTCTCGCGCCCAGGCGGCGCGGCCGCGGACTGTCCGCGAGCGCCGTTCCCTCGCCTGGCCGGGGGCGCCGCGGCGATGGCCCTGCCGCGCGAGAACAGGAAGCCGGCGCGAGCGACCTCGGAGGCGCGGAAAGTGAACGGCTCCGACGTGCGACGCTCGATGAACACCAGCGGGCCCGCGAGCTCCCCCGTGAGGCTGTCGTCGCGGCGCTGCCCGTAGCCCGCGAAGGGCGCGCCCGCGTGCTTCTTCACGCGCGCCCAAACAAAACCCCAGCGACAAGTGCTTCCGGTAGATCCTCTTCCCCACGTCTCTCGGCTTGCACGAGCTCAGCCCGGCCCCGCGGGTCCACGATGACGCGCGCGGTCTGCCCCTCTGCATCCTCCGCGAGGCCGTTCGGGAGGTCGGGCGCCCCCAGGAGCCGGATCTGCATGCCCGCGCGCACCGGGAGGGGCCCGTGCACGCAGCGGCCTTCTTCGGGCTGGCGCGGTTCATCATCTTGGCGGCGTCCAGCGCGCTCGTCGTTGGGGCAGACCTGTCGGATGCCTGCGCGAGAAAGAAGGGCTCCATCAGGACGCCCGCGCCCCGACGGGCGCGCGCGTTGATCCACCGCGCCGCAGTGTCCATATATAGGATCCGATCACGCGGCCATTCTGGAACCTGCCCTCCCGGAGCCGACGATCGCGCGGCTTCGGCTAATCGGCGTTCCACGTGGCCCGGATGGCCAGAGGCACTCGCTTCCCCGGCTCGCGCAGAAACGCCATGATGTCCCGGAGCTTCGGGCCCTCGAACGGTTAGACGCCTGGAACTCGAAACACCGCGGCGCATGGCAGAAGAGATTCATCACGGCCTGGCACTCCGGGGCGAGGTTGATGCCGGCCGCCGCCACTTCCTCAAAGCTTGAGATGAGGGACGCCTTGCCCCCCATCGGCTTCAGCTGCAGGACGTCCCCAGGTGGATCACGATGGGCACGCGGCCGAAGGCGCCGCCGACATGGTCGCACTCCCTCTCCTCCGCGGCCCAGTCGGCCTTGCGTCCGAGGCAGGACCAGAACGCCAGCATGTTGCACAGGCTGGAAGGGATCATGCTCACCGCCTCCAAGATCAAGCACCTGACGGCTCCCCACGTGTCCCGCGGCGCTTTGACCTTGCCCCCGGCGGGCATGTCCTTGTTCCTAAAGGACTGCGCTCCGATGACTCCCGCCCGGCGGCAACTGACGGCCTTGCGTGCATCGGTGGGGATGTTCGCGGCCTGGAATTACTTCGCGAAGACGATCAGCGTGGACTTCGCCTTGCCCGGCGTCACGGGGAACAGCGCGTGCATGGCCGGCAGCGCAATCTCCTGCGCCAGGGCCGTCTTCCCGCTTCCGCGCTGGTCGAGGAACAGGAATTGAATAATCTCCCGCTTCGCGTGCCCGTCCATGCTGCTGCACTCGATCTTCCGCCCCTTGTCCCATGCCACGTTGCAGGCCTTTGCGGCGAAGGCCGCGGCGAACGCGGCCTGGTCGGGCTTCGAGGGCGGCGCCCCTGCATCTTCGCCCTCGGGTTGACCGCGCCGTCCGTGCACTTTTTCGCGAGAATATTCACGAAGTCGCTGGGCCGCTGCAACTTCTCCGACGGTCCCCGCCGCGCTTGCACCGCCTCCGCCAGCGTCGCGCCAGCGCCCGCTGCCCCGACGTCGTCCGGCGTGGGGGCGTCGCCCACGGGCGCGCCCGCGTCCTTCGTGGCCCCCTTGGCGGACGTCTTGCGCCGGGTCTCCGCCGGGCCCCTCGTCGCGCCGGCGCCCAGGGCGCGCGGGGCTCTGAAGGGGTCGAGGGCGTCGCCCTTCAGCGCGCGGGCAGCGCGCCACGACGCGTCGGCGTCGTTCGGGCTGGGCGGCGCGCCGTTCTCCATCATCGCGGCGGCTTCCTTGAGCTCCTCGACGCAGGCCTGCGCGCGCTCGGCGGCGCCGAAGCGCAAGATCTGCCCGACCATCTCAGGGTCGAAGTGATGCTCCAGGACAACGTTGGCGCCTAGCTTCGCGAAGCCGCCCTGAGCGCGGACGGCCCGGGCCTCTACCCGCGCGGCGCCCGCGCCCGAGTCCTCGGCGCCCTCCCAGTTCACACCTGCGCGTCGCCCTTCTGCGGCGTTTCGGCTTCGGAGCCTTCGCCTTGGAGATGCCGTCGAAGTTGGCCGCGGCCTTCGCGGTCTCCAGGGCCAGGTACTCCTGCGCCGTCAGCAGACTGTCCAGTCAATTGCCCAGCTCCGCGCACAGGGCGCACTGGCACGGAAGTTGGACCTCCTCGCCGCGGTCGCTGCGCTGCTCGCGCGGCGCGGACTCGACCTCCCCCGTGTTCCAGATGGCGGGCGTCGCCCAGGACCCGACGTCATTCCTGGGGCACTTGGCCCGGGCCGTCTTCGCCAGTTGCTCCTGCGCGGCGGCGAACGACTCCCGGCCGCGCTGGAAGGGGCCTCAGACGCCCTCCCCCGCGGGCCGCGCTGGCCACTCGGACTCGCCCTCCGGCGTCGCGCACAGGTGCTCGCACGCGCGGGGATGGCGCAGCTCCTTCGCGTCGTTTGGCCCGTCGGCGCTAGGCGGGCGCACTGGTCGAAGCAACGCCGACTTCACGAGTCATGAGGTAGTGCGTCTCGGCGTTCGACTCCGCGCCCACGAAAGCGAAGCCGCCCGGCTTCGGGGCGCGCGCTCGGCGGCCCGCCCCCGGGTCGAAGGGGGCGTCGACGCGCGGGGCGCGACCCCCGCTGCCCTCTGGCTCCAGCTCCCCGGCCGGAAGGGCGCGCAGCGACAGTTCCCCGCGGTCTGCCCAGATGCTGTAGACGTGCAGGCTCGCGTCTCAGACAATGAGGTGGTTCCCGCGGCGCATCCAGTCGTCGCGCTGGCTCAGGACGGCGCCTCTGCACATGCGCTGCGCGAGGCCCTCGACGGTCGACCCTGCGTCGGCCCCGCCTTCCTTCATCTGGTTCATCGCCTTCGTCGTGTCGCGCAGCGAGCCGCCGCTGGCGTTCGCGATCTGGAACGCCTGGCGCCTGTACTCGATGGCGTTCGACTGGCGCGCACCGAGTCGCCCTCGCGCTGCGCCCCGGCGTCGCGACCCGCTGTCCAGTGCTGGGCGCCGCGTAGGTGATCGAGGCGGCGGGCGCGCTATCCGCGGGGTCGGCGGCCGCGTCGCCTGCGCCAGGACTCCTCGGCGAGGTCGATGCACTTCCGCATGAACACCTTCCAGCGCCGGCGCGCCATGAAGGAGGGCGCCCGAAGAGCATGGGGAACACCATCTCGCAGCCGCTCTTGCGCGAGGCGCTGCGGAAGCAGGTCTCGAAGCGGGGCGGCACCTGCAGCGCGCGATTGACGCCCTCCCGGCGCTGTTCAGGAGCGGTCGACGGGGGGCCGTCGCCCGCGCCGTCCGCGGCCTGCGCCCCCCTGTCGCCCCACTGGCTCGCGAGGCGGCGCACGGTGTCGAGGGGCCTGCGGAGGACGTCGTCCATGCTGGGGTTAACCTTCGCGGTGTACTAGTTAACGCAGTAGCTCGCGTTGTGGGCGCCCACGAAGGTGGCGAGCGCGCGCCGCTCCAGGTCGCGCTGGAGCAGTTCGCGAGCTCCCCGAAGATCCCGTGCCACTCGGTGACTGCGACGAGGTCCCACTTCGTCTCGGAAGTGGTGTTCAGGTGCTGAAGCCGCCCCCAGTCCGCCTGGGCGCCCACCGAGAAATCGGCGTAACGCTGAGGGTAGAGGCCATGGGTGTAGCTCTGGCGACCCTCCTCTTTCGCCGGCGGCTCCAACTACGACGCCTCCATCCACGGG